TTTTAGTATTGTAGCTAAACATAGTTTTAAGAGCTGCTTTTATTGATTCCTATTTAGTTTTAGCCAGATCCTACAGTAGGCTACTCATAGTTATGTAATGTTTTGCCCTCCATATTGTGTATTAAAAGCTACAATCATTGTTGAATTTGAAAGAAATCGAGTTAAGATATAATACTTAGGTTGCATTCACAAAAGTACTGAAAACTTTTAAAGGCAAACTGATACCAAATAAGAGACTATGTTTAATATTTTATATACATATTTAAAGCTAAAATTCTCAAGTTTTATTAGAAACTTTTAGTATAACTTGATATGAGCACCATTCGTGGCCTGGCATAAATTTATGTGAAATTTGACCTCTTCCCAGGTTTTGGTAACACACTGGACCTTTTGCTGAGAAGTTTCCATTGCACTTACATAAACATGTCTATTCGAACTCGTTAAAATGTAACATGTTAAATTTAATAACAGCTGATTTATGTTTAACAATTAAAACACAGAACCAGAATGAAGCCCGTGCAAACATTAACGAGGGATGCCAACAGTTAAATTAATTTGGAATAAAATATTGTCTAAAATTTGAAAAAAAGTAATTCAACGATGGATGTTAATGCTCTAATGGTGCTCACATTGAGTTATACTAAGTTTATAATAAAACTTGAGAATTTTAGCTTCAAGTAGGCCTGCACATATAAAACATTAAACATTGTCTTTTTATGGACATCGATATTGACCTTTGAAATGTTTTAGTTCTTTTGTGGACACCCTGTATTTTGTATTGTAAGCATGCAGTATTTACATTGTTTGTAAAATTAATTCAATTTCATGTTTTGTTTTGAATTTATTTTTTATCCCACTTTTTATGACTGTGAAAAATTATTGTATTTAGCTGAAGTATTATTTCATGTAATTTAATTACCTATTTAATTCTTTGTTATCAAAACGAATTTTACTGTATTCCCAAAATAGTTTAGATTTTAAAATGCTTGTTTTAAAGTGCATGTAACACATGTAACTATGATTAAATGGTTCTATTTTAAACTTAATTGTTTTTATGTCAGTATCAGCATAATTTATATTTTAGTCTGTTGATAAGTACTTCAATAGCAATCATGACAAAAGGTTAATAGTATTTGTTGTGTGATAAATAGTTAAGAAATATTGTATTCAGTTAACTGTTTAAGGAATGGATATATTTCTTAACAACAAAAAGTGACTTTATGTATCATACGGTGATACAATGTAAAATAACCCGTTTACTATGGGTATTTTTTAAATGTGAAAATAAGTTTGTAAAACTTAACCCGAATTGGTTCAAAAAACTAATTCAAAATTTAACTTTCATTACTTAGTACCGAAAAGACTACTTCTGACGATAGCTGATATCATAGAAAATGATTATTTCTCTAATTTACAGCAAGGAAAAACCGATCAGATGATTTTCCCTAGGTCTTAATTTTCCTTACCTTGCACTTAATTAGGCTAGTTCTCAATTTCCCCACCATGCACACTACTGTTTCTCTCCCATTTTTTTTTCTAAATCAGCTGGTTTTACTAACACAATGTAAATTCGAACAGAAATAGACACTAGCTAATTTTGCCGTTTTTTTTAAGCCCAGTGTGTAAAAATAACATAAATTGCCATTTTTGGTACTTTTAATGAAATGTATTGTTTTGAAAAGAGGCTCACAGTATCATTTTTAAGGTGACTTCAGTTTTACTTTATGTAGTCCAAGAAGCAATCAGTATTATTTTATTTTGTTTCATGTGTAAAAGCAATTTAATTCATATTAGTTAAAGTATTATTTTTGGTAACTCAGAGCTTAATAAGTGCCTATTCTTGATATAAGGTTGTGTATCGCTGCAATCTATTGCAGTTTCAATTAAAAATTGGTTGGTTATCTTTATAGACTAGAACAATAGTGGTTTATTGCTTGACATACCTTTGAAAATTAGGATTTTTGCTATTGCTAGTAGCTTTTTGTATAATTTTATAGGAATTTTTTACCCGCTTGTTGTTTTGTAGTTCCTGTTATGTATACTATGTTGCATATGACACAGTTTCTGTTGTCATTTTCATCCTATGTAATTATACTCATTTGTAGGTTTAAGGTGATATTATGTTTGTCCTATTTACATTAAGCTTTGCTTGAGTTACTATGATTTTTGGTTATTGTAACAGTATGTGGTAGCTTCTTTTTTCAGGTTCTTTGAGGGTAATTTACAATGATTACAATATTTTAAAATTTGTAAATTATGTCCTTTAAACTCTAAAGGCTGATATATATTGTACACAAGAACAATAAAGCCAAAATTTTTACTTATGCGATTATCACCCAACAAAAATGGTTGAAATCTGTACCAGTACATGTACTGCAAACCTAGGATTCAAATTTAGAACTAGGCACAATTTTGTCTTTTGTTATCCCGTGCTGTTAAGGTCGTAGACAGTTAGGTCTTCTTTTCTTTGTTGACGCCAGTGGCATTTTTACACAAGAGAAAATGTATTTGTGTGAGTGTACTGAAATAACGATTTTCGGAAAAGCGACCCAAACCCATATTGTATGTGGTATGGATGTGCCGAAAATCGAACGTGTCCCACCCGCTCTGAATTCCGAGACGCTAAATACTAGGCCAGCACAGCACACCCAGTAGGTCTGATCAATAGCCGATTGTTCTAAGGCGTTATCTTTCCAGCCAGGAGTCAGCATTGTATATTGAGGGTTCTATTATCACGGTCATATTTTTTATGTTATATATATTTTTTTATTTTTTATCTGATGCAGTTTTTGTGAAGTTTACCTGTCTGTTGCAGACCATTTAGGGACATGCTTACATAAAATAAACGGTTGCAACACTATTTAAAATTGACTGCTCGTGTATAAGCTGAGTAGATTCATTGTGAGATGCACCACTAATTAGTAATTTTTCAAATGTTTGACCACCCTTTCTGTGTGTCTATGAAAAATTAGTTTAAAAATTATTTTTTATTTTCATGTTCAATACATAAAAATGATGTCATTAAGACATAAATAATAATACATAATAAAAATAATATAACATAATACATAAATAAAAAAAATACACAAAACATTTATGTTTTGATTAATAAGTCATCAATAATCCGTGAGTGAAAAGAATCAAGGAAGCTACCACATTCTGAGGGTGTTGACCATTTCCTATCAAACAGTATTTTTTAGACCATGACTCTTTTGTTGTTCCTTTAGCATTAGTATTTATCACAAGATGCCTTTTTATACCAAACATTTGCCTTATACAGACAAATATAGACTATTTATTTCATATTTTGTTTTATTTTTTCCTTACTAGAACCATCATTACTTTGACATAAAGAAGAATGATAAAATTGTGGTTGAACATAATTATTTTTTATAGTATAATAATTGACAAAAAGTTAAAAAAAAATGCCAATACAGAATCAGAAAACAATTTGATTTTATCTCTGTATCTAGTGAAGAAGTGGAGAATAATCATGTAATTATTAGACCTGAGTGAATATATATTTTGAAAGTTTTTTCAAAATTTAAGCATCTAGAGAATTGAAACTAAATTAACATAGTTTTTGTTTTTAGTCTTATATCGATTGATATTGACTGGTTATCTCACTAAGATTTGTTTGATTTACCCGATATAAAAACAAGTGAAAAATGAAGTTCAGGAAGTCCGAAATGAAAGTGTATGTGAGTTATTAAGTTACAAGAAAAATTTACAAAAATTCAATAAAATACTTTAAAAAACAATTATTAAAAAACAATTATTTTTATGATATAATATTTATATTTCATGGCTTCACTTTTTATTTTCCCTTGATTTCCTCCTATATGTTTGTTTAATTTGAATATACATTAATAAAATAGTATTTCTCTCTTTATTTTTTGACTTCAAGATCCTTTATGAATATTATAAATAGGCTTGGAATTTGTATTAGGTATATCAACAGAAGTTTAGAACATAAATTTGAACAGTAATATGTTACCTATTTTGAAAACTAGTATTACTTCTATAACACTTTTGATATTAATTTTCTGAAATAGGTTACCTATTTCCATCTACAAAATAAAATAAAATAAATAAAATTATAAATCAGTTTACACATACAGATTATAAATTAACTAAAAACATAGATTCAAAAAGGGTAAACCCTCATTATTAAGGACCTGCTAATTCAGATTTAGCTTAAATCCAGACAGCCATTTGTAAGACATTTACAATAAACTTAGTTTTACATGTTAGGATTATTCCACTTTAAACCACACAACACACCTTATGTATATAGTTACAGCATAACTAATGTTTCTATTTTTCAGTTCAAAATATAAAATGCAACCTTTTTCTTAAGTAGGCGTGTTATTATGCACAAGGATCCAGAATACTGCTGCCTTTCTTTATAGAATAGTCCATTTAATGCATACACTTAAAAACTCCAGCTAGTACAAATTAACGAGGATTTGCTATACTTTTGAGTTCCTATAAACAACAAAAACAATTAAATCTCATAAAATAAACTAAAACTATTAAAACCAATGAGAAACAAGTTGACTAGTCAATTTTTACAGGTGTTACTCAAACTATCAGCTACTTACATGGCCTTGGAATCCAGACGAGAGGAAGAAGAACTGTTGCAGATCCTGGAGCTCCGTTCTTCTGTAATTGCGGAAAGAGTTACTCGTATCAGCGTAGTCTGGCTTTGCATCAGAGACTTGAGTGCGGGCAAGAGCCTAAGTTTAAATGTAGTTACTGTGACAAGAAGTGCCACCAGAAAGGCAATCTCATCAAGCACATAAATAGGCGACATCCGCAGCATTACAGCAATACAAAATGAAATATATTCTTTGGTACAAGAGAAGTCAAAAGAATACCTTACCAAATACTTAAAGGGGTAACACCCACAGTAAAGCAATAATACAGAATAAAATTCTTGTTTGTGACGAGATAAGTCATCAGAAAGAAACACAAAGAGGCAACAACCAGGCCAATACAATGTAAAATAAAATTCAATGGTTGTGTAGGATGTTTTCCGGTAAAAACTTATTGGCAATGCTGAATAATGCTGAATAAACATTACTCTGTTCCGACATTTTACGATGGGTAAGTTCATATTGTAAAGACTTAAGAGATTGACCAGCAAAAATAATTGTTACGGACTTTGTATCAAAGTACAATCTAGTGACTTTGATACAGTGTTAATTCTTAAATATGACATCAACGCCAATAACATAAATTAAATCAATTTTTGTGATAGATTTTTCTAGAACTAACAAATAAAGGGTTATATTGCCGTTGTTGTCAGAATACTAATAAATTGTAGTGTGATTTAATACAGGTTTTTGTGCAATAAAAATGGAACAAAACAAATGTAGTTGAATGGCAACAATGTAATTTCTGACAGCAACACAAATAACCTAAATCTTAGTTTGTCGACTTATGTCATCATTGACTGGGACGGGTGGCGTCGTCCTGTAATCCAGCTACTAGGAGGTCACGGATTGTGGATATTTGTAGGTATGCACTGTGGATGGGATACTCCCTGGTGTGGATTAACGTCCGCACTAGTGAGTATTACGACTATCCGCAGTGCTATCCTGATAATTAGACCAATTCGTATATACCAAGGAAAAAATGTGGTTCGGATTCCACTATAAACTGTAGGTCCCTTAGTTGCCATTAGCTGTTTGGGCTATTAATTAACAGCTGTGTCTAAGGAATGTCGGCCTTAGTCACTAACAAGACTACAAGATCGCGCCACTCATCCTACACTCATCTCCATTCATACTTGGCTTAAAATACCTACATTGTATTGTCGCCATTTCATAAGAAAGTATTAAAGTAAAGTATTAAAGTATTAAAGTATTAAAGATTCGTTACCTTTACTTCAAAAGTCATAGCTAGGATCTTTGGGACTCTCCTGCTTTTGTGAGACATGGTTAGGTTACCTGAAATAAGGGTAGAAATATATGAAAAATATTAGTGAGATTCTTTTGCAAACTGTGATCGCATTAAAACATTCTTTAAAAACATCACAATAGTTTTATTGAATAAAAAAATAACACGAAACAGACTTTAGTTAAAAAAAAAATACTCCTTGAAGCCCAAAGGGAAAATTGGTCTCAAGGCAAGGATATTTTTTCATGTGCCTATTGACAAAATTTATTAAAAAATTTATCAACAATTGTAATTGCATAACTTACATACACACCGCTTAAAGTTTATCTTAGACTATATGCCGGACTATTTCAAACATGTATATGTGGCGGAATGAAACAGAGAATACTGTAGATTGGACATCCAATTTTTATAAAAAAATTTCTTTCTTTAGTAACTTCTTGGCGGATTTCCCTAAAGAGGCAGAGCGGTTTTTAATATGAGGGTGTAGTAATTTCCCAAAAGATTTTTTCTATTGAATACATTTTTGAAAACAGTTACACGTTACAAGAAAAAATAACTTTTTATAGCTAATTTTTGTTGATAATTTTGTTTTCACTTGCATTTTTCTGATTCTTGTCTGTTTTAGGTGGAGACGGCCAGAACCTGTTTACTTGTGAGTGTGGCAAGTCCTATCCTCTAGCGACCTCTTTACACAACCACAAGGTGTATCGGTGCGGAAAACAGCCGCAGTTTGCGTGTCCGTATTGTTCTCACCGCACCTGGCACAAAGGAAACTTGAAGGTTCACATCAAGAACAAACATTCGGATCAGCCTCAAGTGCAGTTTATATGCACTAACAGAATACTCTCTGAACAAGATTCCGAGTTGGAGATAATTTCCGATAATAGTATATCATTGGACTGAGTCATTGAAACAAATTTTCAGTGTTGGAAATACTTTTTACTCTGTTCAATTTTTTGTATTATATTTTAAGTTGTAGGCCTATATTAAATTAAATATTTTACAATGATTGTTTTTTTTTTTAATTTATAGGCTAATAATCCCAAAAAAGTCTAAAGTAGTAACTCAAATTTTGAAGGTTTTACCCTGTATAGTTTTGAATATTAGTTTCACACAACCCCTTATCATTTAGTACCTATATTTGTCTAAAGACATTTCTTTACGAAATACAACCTCCAAAGTTTATTTCACAATATGCTTCTAGTTGTTCTTCATGACAAAATAGCAACGCTACTATTTAAGACTTTCTTGTTATCTGGCAGTAAAGTTTTAATTTCTTTCATTGTGAAAGCCACCAAATTTCTGAGTTATTAGAAATAAATGTTACGTACCTTATTCAGTCTAGACGATTCCTTTTTGGTATACATTTGACTATTACAACACTATTATAACATTTCTGGATGGTTTAACACATCATCAGAAACATGAAACATCCTCTTTGCAGATTAATAACTCACACATGCATAAAAAACGGTTTGAACATAAAATAGAGCATTTAAAAAAATTTTAAGTTGGGTTGATGAGCTCGAAGTCTATCCTTGTCTGGTTCCTAGTTTTTCAACGATAATTTATACGTAGTCAAATGTACTAACAAACTAATTGCTTGGACTTAATAAGGTTTGTAACCTTGATTACTTTTCATTTTAGAATTCATAATCATAATTAGACCTATCACAATTGTTTTAGTTAAAAAAATAACTTTAAAACAGTTTCACACATTTTTTTATGTTCTGCATTGTTTTCATAAATATTTACCAATTTTTTCTTTATAGTTTAGTAAATAAAAGTTTTCAACTATTCTAGGTCATGATGTGAAAGCATATGTTTGTGAGTGTGGAAAATCATATTCTCGCTTTACAACTCTCTATAACCACAGAACTTATAGATGTGGAAAACAGCCCCAGTTTACTTGTCCTTACTGTTCACACAGAACTTGGCTCAAGGGAAATATGAAAACGCATTTGAAATTAAAACATCCTGGATTGACTTTGGATACTAACTTGACAGATGACGTTGATGAGGTGGATACCCAAGTTGGAAATGTGCCTGGAAATGTTATTGCATTGGAATAGATTTAACTTTTAATTACATTTACCGATGCAAAATTGTTTAAATATTATTTTTATCCTGTTTTTTTTTATATTTACCTTTTTTTGTAGTTCAAATATTTTTTTTATTCATCAAAATTTAAGTAATGATAATTTTTTGTAAGTGTTTTAATTTGAAGTTAATATTTTGCTTGGCATTCCTGAATAGCTTAATATCTAAATAGTTTTAAGAAACTATAATTTTGAGGATTCAAAATTCATTGGTTCTAGGTCCATTGATTCATAAGTAGATATTGAATCTTTTATTGTAATTATCTATTTTTGTAAACCTTTTAGTACATCAATGTTAGTACAATATAAACGCTGTTAAATAAAGGTCATCATTGGAAACATTCACTGTTATTATTAGTGTTATTAGTTTAAGGAAAATCTTTTATAGATGCTTTGGACATTCACAGAAATCACTAATAATGTTTAAAACCAGAAATTTCAAATCTCAAAAAAATGTGAACATTAATTCACTTGTCTGGTTATAAAAAATAGATTGAGCTAATTAATAAAATATTTTCATACTTAACATAATGAAATTTTTATGTTGTGTATCTTTATTGTTGTCTACTTTATTGTTTCTTTATTGTTGTCTACCCTGGTGGCATTTTTTAAAGAGATATTGAAGAGAGTAGTCAAATGCAAGCGGTCCAAAACCATTTTGTTTTGTTATATGCTGGGTATCAAAACTGCACTGAAGTCAGACATTAACCATTAGGCTAGCAGCACGCTTGAATTGAAAGAATGTAAGCTAGACATAATAGTAGTATGAGAATAATAGTACTTGTCTAATATACAAATCATCTTTTTTTATACAAAAGTACATTGAAATAAATTAAAATTCTGACACTGATATTAATAAGAGAATTTGAGAATGTACAAAAGAATACAGTAACAAAAAGAAATACTGTAAATGTGATAATTAATAACACAATTTGAAATAATTGAGAATGGATCATTTAACAACAAACACCTGAAACTGAACCGACTGTTGACATGATCAGTTTAAGAAGTTTTGAATCTCAAAACTCGCTGGTTCGGGATTTGAGTTTTTTTTTACTCATTACTAATCCAGACCTTTTAATACCTCATTCAATCCAGGCTTATAACGACGTGATGGCTCATTGAGCTGTTAGTGTTCTGCAAGTTTTTTTTTTAGTTTTTGTACAAAAATGTAGTGGACAAGTGAGTTCAATTTTAACTTCAAATATTCACCACTCAACAATAAATAACAAGCTGCAGCACACACTAATTCACCACCACTCCCCGAATAATTAATTAAAATTGTTTCCTAATTTTAAGGTAAAAAGATGCTATAAGAAACATCTAAAAACCAGGACTTTTGCGTATAATTATTTTGATTTATTTCCAAAACTTTCACTCTATCCCTCTGTACACCCTATTACTACCTTCCCCTTCAGTAGGCCTACACTTTCTCAAGGATTTTACCACCGTTTAACTATGTTTAAAATCACTCTTGGGAAGCATGCTCACAGTGTGTTGCTTATTTCAGTTAGCTTCCAAATAACCTGGTTTCTTTTTTATGCTTTCATTTCTTATGAGAAGATAAAATATCACACATGAAGTTTCATTGAATGCTTAGATGTTCCAAAATACACTTCCCATGACAAAAAATGAATTAATTATCAGTGCAGTTAGAGCTATCTGATGTTATGATGAGAACTTCTAAATACAAATCTGGGTGTTTTTTTCATACTCGCTCATGCAAGGTAAAATGGACCACAGGAATTCTCTGGTCATGTTTAGAAACCCAATTTAGCCAAAAAGAATCCTCAAATTAGAAAAAATTGAAGAAAGAAACAATATGGATTTGATTTGTTTTTGAGAGCTTTCTTCAATCTAGGTAACTTCAGACTTTTCTAGTGCATTGATTGGTACTTTGTTCCTAGGTTATTTCTTTGAAACCAAGATTTTTCACATGTAATAAATTGTCCTAAAATCAGGGAAATTTCCTGGTGATCATTTCTTTGGTTAAGGTGTAGCAAAGTCCTAGACACTTCCTTGAAATAAATTTCCTGTTATCAAAATAAATGCCTAAGTATCAATTTGTAATATCTTGACATTCATATTTAAACAACATTCTAAACTTTTATGTTCACCTTTTATCATCCCACTTTTAAAGTTAAATAATCTCTGATATAGATTTTTAAATATCTACTTGCCCTTTTCAAAATACTGAATTGTTGCTTGATGTTTTTGGTTAGTTTTGTTGTGCACAAAGCCTATTTTTTTATCTAAAGGCTAACCTGGCCTGGCATTTCAATAAAAAAATTAAATCTTAACCTGTAAGATTACGCTTTAAAGACTTTTTACATATTCTTCAAATATACATTGTTTTAGTCTACTGGTGGTATATCGTAATGATCCATTGTTTGGAATTTTGTACAGTTTCATGAAACATTTTCACAGCACTTGTAAGTACAGCTTTTATGGGTGAACACTAAAAATGTAGATTATGAATATTCTTTTGCATGTCCTGTTAGTTGTAGAACACTGATTGTTTCAATACTTGAGACTGACAATGAGGACTTTTGCAGATTGGATGGGTCAAAACATATTGAGCTACTACGGATTCCTGAACAAGGGGATGTACGATCATTTCATTTTGAACCGGTACGAAAACGACATGTGCTCAGTAAAAAGTGAAGATTCAGAAGAATTGAGTTCCACAGACGTACCAGCTATAGCGAACATAAAACCTCGAAAGACAAAATTCGCACCTCAGGCATTCCACAATTGCACCTTTTGTGGGAAATGGTACAGATCGAAAACGAGCTTAGGACTGCATCGTAGACTAGAATGTGGGAAAGAGCCTGCGTTCCAATGTCCCTTTTGCCCTTTGAAAACTCATCAAAAAGGAAATTTGCAAGTCCATATAAGAAAGAAACACACTAATGAAAGTGCAGAAGTGAACCGCATGAGTTCTAATTCGTTAAAAAACAAAAATCCGATTTTAGCTCAAGAATTGGGTATGACTAATGCTAGTGGAAAGGTTAATGCCCAACAGTTGGGAATAAACAAAGATATATGCTCAGAACTGACGATAACTCGTACACAGTCAAGTAAATCAACTGGTCCAAGTAATTCTACTCTGAACAAAACTCCAAACCTGAGTCATATTCTGTCACAACCGAACAAAGCTCGGGGTATTACACAGTTTCCATTATCAGTTTCTGAGATAAACTCAGCTGCATCAACTTCATTCAGTGCTCCCGCTTCAAACAATGGGAAAATCAGAGTTAGATCTATAGCAAACATACCACCAGGCGTAACAATCACTCAGAATCGACCTTTAAGTGAAAGACTATCATCCGACATCACTATCACCCCGACTGTCACACCTTCGATCACGATAACAGAGAGTTTTAGCCTCTCCGAGGAACATAATTTGGAAAATTCCAATGAACATAATTCCGACGAAAGAAGCAAGACTTTAGATAAAAAACTTCCCGAACTTACCAGAATACTAAACTCACAAGAACCCGTACCTGTTCCTCCAATACCAACAATAGTCGAAGCCTTCAATGCTTCTATTTCGGCACCCTCAACATCCTCCGATGTTGAGAATGAATCAGCAACTATCAAAACAGAAGTAGAAAATGAAGATATACCCGACTCAACAGACAAAAACGATGTTTAAGATTTTTACATATAACAATCACAGGAGCAAATACTTAAAATCCATATTGTACCGTATATATCCATATTATACTATGAGCTGATTGACGAAGGTAACTCTATTTATTGATTTAGCAAATACTTACTTTCACACTGTACATATGAGCCTTTAGTTTGTACTGAATATCTACTGTATCTTTGGTATTGAATATCATTGGATTTAAGATATGAATCATTTCTTTTTTTATTTAGCTGGATTGGTATAGTTATCATGCTGCCACAAATGTTATCATATGCACACACTATTCTGGTATAAAATATGTATAATGTTTTTCAATTTTGTTATAGTAGTTTACACAACGATCGCGTAAAGATAGTGTTAACGACGTGAGTAGAAAATTTAAGGTATGAGCCTCTGCAAGTGTGCCTTAAAAACTTCTATAAGTTACGCGTAAAAACTATTTACGCGAGTTGTGTACACTACTCTACCTACGACCGATTTTTAAATTACTAATAATCACTTTTCAAATCTTCTAAGAGAGGTTATGTTTTTGTTTATAACCTTTCATTGCAAATTACATTGATGCAACGACTCGTTATACCAATCACTATTAGTTGAAGTTTGAATCCTTGAACCTCATTGGTCCATTACATGTGTTGTTAATTAAATCTATGCTGTTATGTAAGTAAACAATGCTGTTAGCCTATGTGAAACTTTTCAATTCTAAGAACTGAGCTAAAACGGCTATTTTTAAAAAAAGGTCGTAGGTAAAAGAATTTTCCTTTGCTATAATCGAATGGTACTTTAAGACTTTTTTAGACAATCTGAATATATATTATTTATATCAATCTACTTTTTAAAAAAAATTGCTTTAGTGTTTCTCTTTAAGAGCTGTAAATGAAGATTATTTTCATTTTGATTTTTTCTCAGCTACAGTATTTGGTTGTTATTTTCGTTCTCATAAGGATAGGAGTATTTCTATTCCTTTCTAACCAAGATAAGAGTATTTCTGTCCCACCAATTCAAATACTCATTTTTCACTCACGAAAAAGACTTAAATGTATTTAAATACATTAATAAATAATTCTTATATAGTATAGTAAGAATCAGTATTTATTTTATTTAGAGTTTTGTTTACATGACTATTAAAAACATCATACATTTAGGATAGTATCTTTTTTTATTTTGTATTGTTTTTCTGAGCATGTTTATAGAAAAGTTAGTTTTTTTCATTTAAATGTTTTATTGTTGGTGTTAATGTTCTATTGAGAGAATTTGTGAATAGTCTAAATAATCTTGTACACTTAGATAAACTTTGTAATACAAGCTTCCATGCAATAATATGTGCAGCTTCTATAGTTTTATACAACAGTTTACCCTATAAACCAGTCTTCCTATTTGTAGTTTAATGTATTTTCTATACATTTTTAGTGTTAGATTGCCTACTTTTTTATAATTTAAAATTTTTCATATCAATCGTACATATTTTAATTTAGATTGTGAAATAAGTTGGTAATGGACTGACAAAACTATTTTATTTTTAAAAGATGTTTATTTGACAGTATTGTTATATTGTATTTTAGTAAATATTTTTTTCGCCAAATTTCAACATTCACACTCCTTAAAAACAGCTGTGGTAACCAGTATTTAAGTAGACATACCTATTATTTTCCTACAGTCACCCGACAAAGTGGGCTTCCTTGCGCAGATTATAGTACAGAAAGCCTTACTTTGGCGCACAGTTTTTACTTTAGCGCACACCAGTATTTCAAACAACACAAAACAGTGTGCTTTTATTATGCACGTAATCCGCGTACGCTTGAAAATAAATTGGCAACACTTAGGCCGGCCACACACAGAACCAGGCGGGTCGGGGCGCGACAGGGCACGACGAGACGCCCTGTCCTGTTGCTGTCACACACAGAACGAGGCAGGGCACGTCAAGTAAAAAGTTTAGCCCCCATAAACCTGAAAATTAATATAGGATTTTTTATTTCTGAGCCTTGAGCCGATTTAGCCAAATTTTAAATTTGACTTTATACTTGGGAGCAGAATAGAAAACAAAATTCAAAGTCATACCTCCAGAGGAGTGGTTTTTGAAATCCTTAAGATATGAACGTTGGCCCTCTCTTTTCTCAACCAAGATAAATTATTAGTAATTCAACCACTGTAGTAATATCATCACTGCATAGTCTTATCAAAGGGTGTAATCTTTGGTCGTATAAATTGTTAGTGTTGTATGTAAATTGTATCAGTTGTAAAATAATCCTTATCAAAATTAGCCATTAAGGGAATAAATCACATGACCGCGCATGCGCAGAAAGTTCTGCCCGGCAGCGACTTGCCTCGGGGCATAATTTTGGAGACCTTCGCATTTTGCCCCGAGGGCGCCCGGGGGCGTCTTTTCGACGTGCCCTGCCTCGCCCGGTCCTGTGTGTGGAGCTCCATAAGCACCCGTGCAATTCCTGTCGCACAAGACGCCCCGGGGCAAAATGCCCTGTCGCGCCCCGCCCCGCCTGGTTCCGTGTGTGGCCGGCCTTAAAGAATCAGCTCGTGCAGCGTTTCCCATTTCGTTTGATGTTTAAATTTAACCTAACCAAAAAACGTGTTATACAGTGTTTTTGAAAGACTAATTATTTATATGATTTATAGTAACTGTAGGAAAAAGACAATGTGTAACACGAGTGCTAAACTGCCTTTGCTGCACTCAAGAAATTTTTTACACTCGCCTACGGCTTTTGCTTCAAAATTTCTCTTTTGTGCAGCAAAGTGCCACTTTGTCCACTAGTTACACAAATAACTATTTAATTTTAGAATTTTGACATTGTGTTTTTGTATCAACAAAATATGTTTTCTTAGTTGTTCCAGTGCTTGGATGCATTTTTAACTACTCATTATTTTTGTTGAATTTCATATTGTTCCTATTATACACTTACAATTTACATCATCAAGTATTCAAAAGTGGCGTAAAATACAATATTAGGGGTTTTTTAACACAGGAGATTGACCCAAAACTGCTTATATTGCAATATTAAGTAGTATAACATTTTCTAGGTTTAGGTATATTTTCGACACTATAACTTATAATTTTAATTTGAGTTTTTTAAGTGTTAAAAGATCCTAATGTAAAGACTGTTAAGCTCTTGTTTTGAGATGAGATATCTAAGAATCTTGCATTTTAATTGTGTATTCAACCCAGTATTGCCCAATAATTATTCTTTTATAACAGGATTCAAGCATAAATTACCTCAAGTATTGTTTATATTATTGTAAGTATAAGTATTATTATTACTATAAATTTGTAGATATGAAGCACACTAAAATGAATGGTTTACCGGGCAAATAAAACAAATGCAGCTAATTGCAAGTGTGCAACTTGAACAAATGTAAAAAAGTTTTTTTCTGCTAACAACTCATGTAGGCTAAATATAAAACGGGAAAATTGAGAAAATAAAAAAAATTGCAAATCATTTCCTACCACATTTCCATTCACAGCATTTCCATCCGTGGCATGCCTGCAAATTCTACTTGATTAACTTGTTAAAATAGTGTCGTTGGTGCTGTGCCAATTAAATTCTAGTTTTCTAGTATTATTTTTTGTTAATATTTCAAAATTTTGATCTCTTTTGTCGCTAGTATGGCTGTAAACCCTTACTTGTTAAATGTTTTTCTGTTAGTTTTAAAAATTATTTTATACTAGTTTTTAAGATACACCAAAGTACTCTTATGCTGAATAGTATTTGTATGTATAGAATTTATTCTATAAAGTTTATTCATTTTTTTGTTTTGTCTTATCATAGGAAAATGTTTAAAGCACTAAATTAATGTTTAGTTACTGTGCTTGAATTTGTATTATTTTTAAAGCATTACAAAGGATTTATTATTACTGTATTTTTTAGAATGAAATTGTGAATTCTTTTTTCAACTATAAATTATAATTGTCATTTATAAATTAGTAAGAACATTTTGATATAACTAATTTTTTATTTAAATATATCAGTTTACTAGCTGTACCCGCGGGCTTCGCCCCGTTTGACTTAATAAGTATTCGCATGGCTCATTCACATCCTGGTTGAAGTTCGTTCGCTACGCTCACTCACCTTTAGGTTGGAGCTCGTTCGCTGCGCTCACTTGCCTTCAGGTAAGCTCGTTCGCTACGCTAACTCGCCTCAAGGTTGAAGTTCGTTCGCTACGCTCACTCACCTTTTGGTTGGAAATTAGCTGTTGTCATAAATTTAAAAAAAATTAATAGTGCTGCACCCTGTTGGTAATCCTTGTAACTTTTATGCTGTTGAACATCATAGAACAGAACCAACTTGTTTAATTGAGACAGCTGTTAAGATTCATTTATTCCTTTTAAATATGAAAAATCATAAGATTAACATGGGGAACTACAGAGCCACTGGGGCGGAGCCCGAAAGGGTTTTTGAGATAAGAATATGCTTTAATGTTAATCAGGAATGTGAGCTATCAGCATGCCAAATTTCAGCCCAATCCGTCCAGTAGTTTATGCGTGATTGAGCAACACACACACAAACATACACACAAACATACACACAAACATACACACAAACTCACAAACTTTCAGATTTATAATATTAGTAAGATAAACAATAAATTTGGATTTAAAATTCCAATTTGAAATAAATTTTAATAAAGGTTTAACTTTTTAAAGGATTCATAGTAACCACAGTTTAGGATTTTTAAAAGTAATGTTCACAAAGTGGGAGTCTTTATTAACACATATTGTATGTAATATAAATTTAGTTAAATATTTAAACACTTGACATTATTTCATAGATCCCCTGTTTTTACGTTTTCCTTTAAATTCAAAACATTGCGTTGTAGTCAAACTTACTGAATTCTATCATTCATATGGCAGTATATACTGTTGTCCTTTATTTTTTAATATTTTTTGTATAGGTAACACACACATTGTACTATAGGCAATATAATTACAATAAAATATTGATTATTTAAAATTCTGCATTTTAATTTATGCCATGAAACTTTGTAGGGCAGTTCTTTTCTTAATACTCACATCTTTTTTTATCAATGATGATGTGAACAATTCAAATAGTTATTGACACAATTTTGTTTACTACTATACATAATAAATTTGAAAACAAGTTCATTAAACAAAACAGGGGTTTTAAGCCAGTGGAGAGATAATTATGTGCTAATTTTATTCTAAATATAATTATTTAACCTGAACTAGCCCTATAAAAATCATCTTTTGAATTGATTTTCCATTGTGAATCCATCTTTTTCAAATACAGCATTGCTTTATAATAGCTTTATGCTATGAAGCACAAGACTATTAGGCTTAAACTAAGTCCAGACCAAATCAGACGAAGTTGGAAAGGGGGATCGTCTAAACTAGATTTTAGATCAAACCCAAAGAGCAATGTCTGAAGATGATATTGGATGAAATGCAAGAGGGAGCAGGTATCTAGCATCCTGAATCCCATATTTTTTACAAATTATAAAAAAAGGTTGTTTAAAGTTTTTTTTTGGGCTTAGAGGCTAAATTCTTTCAAGTCGTTCTCTGGACTCCCTTTCCTCCGTTCTCTGCTTGGTTCCATGTCTTATCCCTGGTTAACCCTTTCAGTGTGTAAGGGGTGAAAGCTGGTAACAATAAGACCCCTGGTTCACCAAGCGGATGACCGGCTACAGGCAATCAAATTGAATCCAGTTACACTACAATGGCTAGCAGTGTGGCCGAAAATGGGCCACTTGGGTGGCAAAAACGGCCACGGAAACGGTGGCTGCTCTCAATATATAGTAGCTGACCGTGGCTTCTCCGAAATGTGGAATTGCACTGTTTAGCATTTAGCTGTATAGGAGCCTGTTACACTATAGTGGCCGGCACGTCACTAGTCATGCAGCCATATGCGTGCATCTCGGCGCATCTGGGAAGTGTTCAATAAAAAATCAGTGTGCCAATTGTTGTTTGTCAGTGGGACTTGTTTTACCTCTATGTGTAGTTTATTTAGTCTTCCACAACATATGACGTTAGTGGTAGTGAACATTATAACGGAACACCTAAAGAGCAAACACAGGGAATGAGGTAAAAATTGCAAAGAAAAATTGAAATT